TAGTGCAGTAACTGTCAGAAGTTCTTTTGGGCTGGGAATTATAGGCAATTTTTACTTGCCATGTATATATTTAATTTTTTTTTAAATACAATGAACATAAAGGATTTTGAAAACCACTTTGTAAGTAAGAACTAAGTTCAGAATGCTGGAAAATGTGAACTGTGTAACAGCCTTCCCCCAAACTCAAGACCTTTTCCAAGTGCTGCAGGCCTATCTTAACAGTTTCCAGGTAATTCACCATGGGCTTTATTTAGGAAAAACACCAGAAACGCGAATGGCTTTTAGTCTGTGTTCTGCCACGGAGACCTGGAAAGCCACGGACTACTTATCCTCTTGTGGGTTACAGAAGTTAGTACACTGTCAAATTTTTATACCATTTATTTTTTCTGTTCTTTTAAAACTTTTCTTTGTATTTCTTCTGTCTGTCTTACTTAAGACCTAAAATGTTTTCTTATAACTTCTGTTTATCTTTCCTAAAATAAAACGATTCGATCCTACAAGATTATTGCATTTTAAAATGCATCTTTTATGAAAATCATTTTCTAGCTCTTATTTAGTGCATTCTCATCTGTTGCCTCTGGCAGAAATTCCATGTGAGAAAGGATTTTTGAGCTAACCTGAAACTTTGTCCTTGACAGGGAGGAGTGTCAGGCCCGCAGAGGTGGGCTCACATACAGCTGAGGCATACAGACACCCCAAATATGACCCAGTCACAGTAGTTTACTACTTGAGACAAATTTCCACTTCCATCTTATATTCAAAAACTAGAAGATTTTTAAAAAGTATAAAACAGTAGTCTGGCTTAAAAGAAATATTCAACGGTGTTTAAATGTTGTTGCTTCTTAGAAGCTCTTGGCAATCCTATGTAGGCCATGCTTCATTGAACACCTGGTCCTGCCTAGCTCAGGTCTGTCTGCAGAGCTGTCTGTGTGGCTCAGCCACAAGTCAGAAGAAGCATAAGACAGATACCCAAACACCTTAATGCATGTATCTGCTTTTAGGCTGCACTAACCCTGAATGCCATTTCCTAGTTTCCAAAAGGACCACAGATGTGGACACACTGTAGGTTTAAAAGTAAGAGTGTGGGTTGGGTATGCTGGTGCATGCCTTAATCTCAGTACTCTGAAGGCAGAGGCAGGGGGAGTTCGAGGTCACCCTGGTCTACATAGCAAGCTCCAGATCAGCGAGGACTATACAATGAGACCTTGTCAATGAATGAATGAATGAATAAATAAATAATAAATAAATAATGTAGATCAAGAATTTTGGACTTTCTAAAATGGTAGAAAGGCTCTGATTGAACTATTACATTTTAGTGACCAGGATGCTCTGCAGGAACCTTGATCTCCCAGACTATAAGCTCCCTGAGAGCAATAGCGTTTTCTTATTCTGCTTCCTCAATGCTCAGTAGAGAGCCTGGCATGGAGCCAACATTTCATTCCATGGAGCCAGCCATTTCATTTAATGGCCCAGCAGATGGGAACAGTGGTCCCCAGAGACTGGAAGGCGTGGATTGTAACCAGGACACAATCAGATAGTCGATTTGCAATGACTCTGAAATGTCCCAGATATATAGAGTCTTATGGCTATTTACATTAATTTCATAAAGAAATCATAGAAACTCATAAGTAGCTTTAAATTTCTCTAAAGCTCTAGGACTTTACAGCTGAAAAAAGAACAGTCTCTACACAAGAGACTTGAGTTTGAAAAACCAAAAGAGAAAAGAAAAAGGAAAACTAAAATACCACGGAGTACAACAGCACAGGGAGAATCTTTACATGATGCTCTTTATGTTTCTAAAGAGAAAAGTGAAGGGAACAACCAGACGTAAAAACTCTCAGACAGACTCCAATTCTGTTTCTAGCAGTAGGTCAAATCTGAGGCTAGTTTGAGATTTCTTATGAGAAACTCTAGTAAGAAAAATACAGTGACTCATTTCATAATAATGGCCTTTCTTCCCAAAGTACACAGCACAATTCCCACATCCCAAGCACACTGACACTCTATTGCAACACGGAGGATCTCCCTGTGCCACTGTCCCCACATGGACAGAGAAAGTTGACGGGGAGGGGCAGACCTCCCTGGTGCAAGTGGGAAAGGGACAGCAGGAGCCACACCCACTTCACCCTGCAATGGAGGGGACTTCTCCCTCCCTCCCTTGTGCTGCCCCATCCTGAAACTGTGCTTCCGTGCAGCCATCTTTAAGAACCCTGGGGAGATAAGTACCCCTGGCTTCCTAGTCTGCAGGCTGAAAGGATCCCTGCAGAGTGGTTTTAAACATTAACATTCTCACTTAAAACACAGATGATCCAAAAGGGTTAGAGAAATGAAGAACTCCCTCAGGGCTACAGCACCATTAAGAGGTCTAGCCCCTCTCAGGTACAAGCTCACTCCCCCACCATGTCTGTGGGCATAAAACAGCAAGTTATGTAAACAGTTATAGTAAAAATAACTGTAGTATATTACCAATATAGCTGCCACTCAGGGAGCCAGGTTCCCAGGCCTTCCTAGTCAGAAGTTCCTGGAGAATAACTACCAGGAGAGAATGAGATGGATCCTGCCTTTTGTGAATATTAATGTAAACTGATAAAACAAAGGTTAAGGTGTAAAAGAGGTTCAAGGACACCTGAGAGCCTGACATCACTGGCTTTATGGCTTTAGGTATTTGAGGTACCCCAGGAGAAGAATGAATGTGCTCTTGTTTCTCTCTCTCTCTCTCTCTCTCTCTCTCTCTCTCTCTCTCTCTCTCTCTCTCTCTCTCTCTCTCTCTCTCTCTCTCTCTCTCTCTCTCTCTCTCTCTCTCTCTCTCTCTCTGGAGGAAGAGGCAGTTAAAGAGGGAAGGATTGTTCATTGATCCATAAATAGCTGAGATAAGCAGACTCTGCAAAGTTCAAACATCACTGAGGAGTAAGCTTCGATAAGACAACTTGACTGGCTTGATGAGCGGTTGCGGGGAGAGGACCCTTCAACCTGACCCGGATATTTTACAACTTCTGGTGAGAACATGCCTGAGGAAGCAGTGGGCTGAAAGCCCTGAGAAAGGGAGGCACGAAGGCGAGGCAGGAGGGGAACGGAGCACATCTGGCAATGGACCTGTTTGTACAGGTCCAATGTACCGGTCCAATGTCAGACCCATAACCGATAATCATAGAAGCCAAGGCAAATAGACCAATTAGTTTTTGGTTAGGATGGTAAGTCAGTGATGAAAGGAGAATGGAACAGACACAAAGATAAAGCAGAGATCTGTTTCCCTGACTCTGGTCTCTATTGCTGAGAAAGCGTGTGTGTGTGACCGGAAAATGACACATGAGTAAAAAGAACTGAAGAAAAACTGATCACAACCAAAAAGAGTCACTTAAAACAATAAAAGAGCTTTGTGATATAAATGGCATTTTTCTTATGAGCTAACATGGTCAACTCTGATAGTAAAATCATTAGAAATCAGAACATTTTAAAGATAAGGAACTAAACGGCCTCAAATAAAATGTTCAGGCTGGTCAAATTTTTTTGAATGAAAATTCTCAAGTTAGGAAGTCCTCCAGATTATAGGATTTATATAACAGCAGCTACAGAAAACTTACATCTGTAAAAAAATCAAAGTCCCTGGGGGGAATAGTGTTTCATTTGTATCGAGATATTTTAATTCCTCCCTAATAATTTAAGATAGTATTAACATTACATATCAGATATGAGATCTGATTTCTCCTGTGTCCCATCTGAAAGCTGGTTTGGTTAATAGTTGTTTTCTTAAACTATAGATCAATTTCTTTCTTACTTCCCATAATTAGTTAAGCAATATTATATTAAAATTATATACCAACAGAATTATTTAGTATTTATTAATTTACTAAGATAACACAACATCTTGGATGTATTTCAAAGAATAAACATTTTAATACTTTCTGCCAAAATTGCTTCATTTTATCCCATTTCATGTATTTATGTAGAGTGTTTCTGATGGATGAAGAGGAAACAAAAGTGTCACATTGCTTTTCCAAAGGGCTCTGCAGCTCCAAACAAAGGAATTAAATGGAAATAAGAGTTTTGGCTCCTTACTTTTCCTGGGTTTCTCTTTTACAGCCTCTGAAACACTCTTCTGATGTATTTACTTAAGATGAGATAAGAAGCTGATTTTATACGATGTGGCCAATTTCAAATTTCATATGGGTTAAAAAATAATAAACGCTGGGGATAATCTAATATCCCCATAAATTATTTTAGAAGCATAATAATAATGTCATACTGCATGGCTGGGTTAATGTTTGCTTTTTTTTTTTTTTTCTGTTCATTGAAAGTTCAAGTCATAGATCCCAAAAAGTATTTTTCTTAAAAAGGTTAAGTCAAATAGACTGAACTGTAACTGAAACAAGATACGCATACACACAAGGACACTCAGTCAAGTGCACATGCTAAGCTTAACAGACACAGCCAGAAGGTACAATGTTCAGAGTAGGATCCCTATACTTATTTGTCTGAGAAGAAACTCCAATGAAACAGAAACAGGACCTGACAGAACTCAAACTTACCATGAGAAAAGAAAGAGCAAGAGAAACTGAACTCTATCACTATGAAACGATACACTGGGGAGCAGGACTGGTTCTCATGAAAATGTCAGTGATTCACCATGGAATAAAATTCAGAAGCCACTGACCCCAGTGAAAAGTTCCACAAGAAACATGTGGATTTTGCTTCATTTCATTTAAATACATTCATGAACAGCATCAAGGTTTTCTTCATATAGTGTCACCTAGTTTAAAGTGGATAGTGACAAGACATTGCTTATCAAACTGGTTATTCAAAAGTCTTCAGGAAAAGAGAAACAAAACCTAACACATGAATTGATCAATATTACCATATAGAGTAGTTAAGATTACTTTGATCACTTAAAACATGCTGACCAGGTGAGTGATAATAGAAGACAATTCTTTTTTTCTAGGTTTTCCTGTGGTCACTCAGCATTTACACAGATTTACTTGTTTACAGAAGTTTTTCATACATACCAGTTTTTCATTCTGGCTTCCCAAAGTATCACTGCTGAATGCAAGCCTATTAACACAGACCACAAATCTGTCAGGAAATACACGGAGCTCTGTACAAAATGAAGAACATCAAGTCACAAAAGGCATCAAAAGTATGTAAGCAGAAATTATTATTGACCCCAGGTTTTTTTGTTAACTTTTGTTATGGTAGTATGCTTATATGTCACACATGTCTCTTCTCCTCTCTTCTTGAGTTTCCATCAATGGGACAGAATGGGCTTCTAGGGAGGGCAGAGGAGGCTGCAAATTAGTCTACCTGTATCCTTGAACTATTATACCACATTGAAGCCCCAGGCAGGGCCTTTGCGGCTGTCTCTGTGTTGGTTTTCTGTTTTCCATTTAGAACTTATATTTGGCAAATAGTATCAATGTTTCTAATCAGCGTGCAGACTTACAAAGAAAGAGGAAGAGTGTGAGAGAAAAATTTTTAAATGTGATTAATTAACATTTTTCCTAGTTAGTTTACTCATCATCTCTCTACTAGCTGCTCTTGGTGAGAACCCCTATACTAGAGGGCAAACTTCCAGGTTGAATCAGGCTAAGAAAACAGCAGCTTCTCTTCAGTATGAATGACTAGTAGATTAAGGGAATGGTCATACATGTAACAGTAGAGATGATACAATCACCCCTCAGCCACAGGAAACTGTTTCTGCAGATCCTTACAAAAAAGCCACTCACTTCCAAGTAGGAAAGGATGAGTGAATCATAGCAAAGGACTTCAGGGGATGACGAGCCCACAAAGTGGCCACGCCTTCAGAATCATCTCTTTTCTCACCCATCCTCTGTCCGTCCATTCGGCCGTGGGACCTAACGTCTGGAGTGAGGTGTAGTAGCTGTGAATAGGGCCTAATTTGACTGAGTGGGTTGGAATTATCTGTTCCCTTCTTGATACTTGCTGTGTTGCTTGAGCATTTTTATAATACACATATATATTTGTTACAGAAATAGTCACTGTTTTAAAACATGAAACTTCTCATTCAGATATCTCAAAGACAGATGCTATAAATTAGGTAAATGAACCCTTTTACATACATTGCAGCATGGTACTGTCAGAGGTAGTGACACATCTCCATTTGGTTCATTTAAAAGCCAAACACAAAAGTGTTATTTATACTAACACACAATCTGAACAGAGTTAACACTTTATACCACTTGGCTAGGTCCAATTATACTAAAAAACCCAACATGTTGATGTCCTTGTAGTGGTCACTCTGCCTATTCTAATTCATCCACCTCCTTACTCATCCTGCCTAACTTAGCTCCTTGTGCTACTCAATCTACTAGCATCCAAAACCTGCCAAGACTGTAGCTTAACCTGCTCTGGTCTTAATCCCAGCTAGTCTTCCTCATGTAGAATGTCCTCTTTGTAGGCAGAAGTGCAGGAGTATTTAAACTTTGACCTCACACGGATATTACATCTGACCAGACAAACCAGATGGCTCGAGAAGCTCTAAGCACAAAATTATCAAAACATTTATATTTATTTATTAATTCTTAAAATAAACTACTAGAATTGAGTGGTAACACAAACTAGAGACACCTCGGAGGAAGGTACTTTTACTGTGGAATTTCCTCCATCAGAAAGGTCTGTGGGTACGTCTCTGAGGCATTTTCTTGACTACTGAGTGATGTGGGAGGACCAGTTCACTGCGGGTGGTGCCACCTCTCGGCATAAGAAAGCAGGATGAGCACAGGCCAGAATAAGCAATACACCAAGCAGCTTTCCTCCATGGTCTCTGCCTCTAGGTTCCTGCCATGAATTCCCACCCTGAGTTTCATCAAAGATGGACAGTGTCTTGAAAGTGTAAAATATAATAAACACTACCCCTCCTCAAGTTGCTTAGGTCACTGTTATCACAACAGAAAAGAATCTAGGACAGTAGCCCATGTCTCACTTTATGGAAGGAGAAATGGCTATAGAATCTATTCTTTGTCTAAAAAAAACCCAGAAAGTTAAAATACATGTTCTGTAGTGGATAAGAACTAGAATTTTTTTTTTTTTTTTTTTTTTTTTTTTTTTTTTATTTTTTTTTTTTTTTTTTTTTTTTTTTGGTCTTTTTGAGACAGGGTCTCCCTGTAGCCCCAGCTTTCCTGGAACTCACTATGTAGACCAGGCTGGCCTTGAATTCACAGAGATCCGCTTGCTTCTGCTTCCCGAGTGCTGTGATTAAAGGTGTCGCCTGGCCTAGCATTAGAATTTAAAATTATCAGTCTATCACATAATTTCTCTATTTTATATTTCTATTTCTTCATCTGAAAACTAAGCATAATGAATTATGAATACTTTGGTACCAGGTATTTATTAACAGAAAGTTTCTTTTGTATTCCTTTCCTTGGTTTAGGTAATAACAGATTTGTATTCTTTTAACATTTAATTAAAGATTTAAACAACACTAGTCCCTACCAAAAACTGGAGCCAGATTGTACTGTAACAGATATAAGGTTAGTTTTTTGACCAATAGAGATGAACATTAAGATACCCATTAAGAGGGTAATATATCTGAGTAACACTTAAAGAATTAAGAAAGTACAGACAGTCATGAATATTCAGTGAGCAAACCTCCATGAAGTTAATTTTCTAAGTCCCTGTTTCATATCTTCTATTCACACGAACATTGTTCAAGAGTGTTAAGCTAAACTTTCCAATGCTCAGATCTACTTGGAGAATGGCCATTAGTTCCTCATTTTACTGCTGTTGGTTAGACATGACACCGTTTTCCCTAGAATGACTTGGGGAAGTAAGATTGGCCTTATCATATACCAGCTTGATGGCTCTGGGATGAGAAAGTGCTTTCTCACGTATGCATGTGCTCTTTCCAAGGGCTGAGGGTGCAGAGACAGAATGAGTCATGGTTCACCTGTGCATCAAGGCATTTGGAAACCCAAAAAAAGGTACTGAGATGCCCCAGGAAAGTAAAGTGTTAACATGGCTCAGCTCACTGTTCTCACATGGGCATTAAACAGAATAAACTGAGCATGAGGGATAATGTATGTATGCTTTGAAATACTAAATGATGCAAAGGCATTGAAACATAATTTTCAACCCTTCTCTGGGAAAAGTTGATAGTGCGAATGCCTGATGATCCAATAAACCAGCTTCTTACCAGTACTGTAAGAGCTCCGAATGCAGCGAAGGCGTATCCCTCTCTTGAGGAAATAGGCTGTGATCTGAAAGCCATAGCCTACAAAATGAAAGAGACATTATCAGATTATAAATTTGCTTAAATCCCAGGGGCCCAGCCCAATGTTGGCCATACACTATGCATTCAATAATAATCTAATAAATAAGTGAAAAAAAGAGGTAACAGGGACCCACTTGAGAGGGAAGAATAAGCATTACCATATTGGCTCTTCTGAGAGGCCTGGCCAAATATCTGGCAGGATCCTCAGTCACTTCATCTACAAAATGGAATAAATAAGGAGGTCTAATGTGCCTGAAAATTAGTGATTTCAGATGGAATGATAAATTTAGTCCGAATTGATGCACAGATGTTGGCTAACATTGTAATGTTCTAACGTTCTAACCTTCTAATGTTCATTACCTCTCAGTTTATTAAAAGAATAATCTATTTGAAAATGAGTATACTTTGTAAATAAGTTACTCCCTAATTTAAGTACAGTCAAGTCTTCATATAGGATGAGAAGAAAAGAAATATTGAATGAGTTAAAAAAAAAAAACAGAGCTGGAGAGATGGCTCAGTGGTTAAGAGCACTGACTGCTCTTGCAGAGGACCCTGGTTCGACTCCCAGCACCCACATGGCAGCTATGAACCGTCCTTAACTCCAGTTCCAGGGGAATCCGAAGCCCTCTTCTGACCTCCGCAGCATTAGACACGGGTGCACTCATATACACGCAGGCAATACACTCGTATACATAAAATAAAAATAAATAAAATATTTTTTAAAAGGCAAACAAAGCCCCCCCACAGTTCCAGAACAGCAGTACACAAAGCCCCCCACAGTTCCAGAACAGCAGTATACAAAGCCCCCCACAGTTCCAGAACAGCAGTACACAAAGCTCCCCCCAGTTCCAGAACAGCAGTACACAAAGCCTCCCCCACAGTTCCAGAACAGCAGTACACAAAGCCCCCCACATTTCCAGAACAGCAGTACACAAAGCCCCTCACAGTTCCAGAACAGCAGTACACAAAGCCCCCCACAGTTCCAGAACAGCAGTACACAAAGCCTCCCCCACAGTTCCAGAACAGCAGTACACAAAGCCCCCCACAGTTCCAGAACAGCAGTACACAAAGGCCCCCACAGTTCCAGAACAGTATCAGAGCACCCCACAGTTCCAGAACAGCAGTACACAAAGCCCCCCCCAGTTCCAGAACAGTACCAGAGCACCCCAAATTGAACTTAAGTGAAGATATATATCCTACTAATAATGTTCTTAACAACAGTCTCAATATGGAGCCAAAGCAAAGATGCATCAACAGTAGAATATTTTTCAAATGGTGATATATTTATACAGTGAAATACTGTAGAATGGGCAAGCTACCATACAGGCAATTATAGCAGTATCATAAACATGATAAGTTAAAGAAATCTGCCCCAAGGAGTAAATCTTCTCTGTGAAAATGGGGACATTTCCATTGATTATACAGGGTACCAGCAGAACTTCTGATAATTCTCAGGAAGTACTCACCTAATTTCTCCCTCCAATTATAAAATACTTCAGTAACAGTGATTCCCATTCTCACTGTCATCAGAGAGGGTGGGAGTCCTCAGGTGCTGGGATACCTTTAGAAAGCTAAGCCTTTAAGACAGTATGTCACTCATTAACTGTGAAGGGCAGAGAGACACAAGAACCACTGGCCTATAGGACCATGAGATCATCTGCAGAGAAATCAACTTACCTTCTGTCCCCAAAGTCTACAATTGTTTTGAAACCATATTCCTATAAAATACAACTTTTATGTTTATCACCCTTCCAGCACTGCTGCAGGAAGGGCCCAGGGCCACCAGTAAGCACTGATGTGACGCTCTGTCTAAACAAGCCATGGCTCTGACAGCACAGTTGCTTTAGAAATGCAGATTGTGAAATGACAGGGACATCCACAAAAGGTTAATTTCCAGATTTACTGCAATGAAATATACTTTTCCCAGCACACTAAAACTCAGATTGTATTTCAGTCATGTGGCTTCCTTCTGCTAAGATGTTAAAATAGGTACAACATGGGCATTGCTCTGAGTGCTTTAAAACAAGCATTTCATTCCTGAGGTCACTGAGGGAATGGAAGACACTTCTACATCTGTTTGTCTTACTGTCGAGGAGGAGGAGGAAAGGTTATCAGAGAGGAATCCACAGCAATTTGGAGCTCCTAACACAACAAAATTTAAAAGCAACTTTTCACATAAGTATTTATGAGTCTTTCAAAGGACCAAAGGAGGGAAAAGACACGCAGTATCCTACTCATTCTGCTTTTGCTGGGCCGTGGCTCTAGGGGATTAAGATTCAGATGGCGTAGTCAAAGTTTCAGATTCTTCTTCCTGACAAAAATCTGCAGCAACAAAATATTACTATCAGGTCAGAGCTAAATGTAAAGCTGATCATGAAAATCAGAGCTCAACTTCATGAAGCCTGATATTTGGAGGCACCGTTGAACTGACAAATTCTACACCAATAAATACCAACTAGTAAACAAACCAAAACAATAAAGTCCCAATGTGACGCCCTCTCCTGTGAAAAAGAAATGGTATAAGGTATATTGCAAGTGATTTGTCAAGTGAGATTACTAGGCTAAAACCTGGCTCCCCTGTACCCATACCCTCCACAAAACAGGGATTATATTAAAGAATCACTCCTAAACTGGCCTCATATAATTAGTAGTTTCAAGGCAAATCTGGCCTAATAGGCCTTCAAGTGAAATGGTAAGTTTAATATGTAAAAACGATTTGCACCTGCTTAATCTAAATTCCGGTGGTCATATGAAACTTTATTGTTTAAAGAGAAACCTGAAGAGAGTTTAAACACAAAAGGTACTTGTGTCAGTTCTTACGGCAAACTAAACTTGATATATAAACAGAGAAAATTACTGCTGCTGAAACACAGAGCTGAAATGCTTTGGGGAGATGTATTTCATTTATCCACAGATAACAGGGACTGATAAAGACTGCATTCTTATCTTTGTTTCTAATGAAATTGCGTTTACAGAGTTCAACAGGCCACTGAGATTTTGTACTTGGCAGGGTTAACCTAAAGCTCCACCACTCTGCAGCCAACAGCAACTGGCAAAGGATTCAGGGGGCCTTGACTTTCCTTCCTCGGGTACCAGCTCCCAGCTTCCTACACTTGTATTCTGAATGCAGACGTCCCAGTCAGGCTCAGCCTTCGTCAAAAGAAGCTCTATGTAGCAGCAGCCTATGATTAATGCAAAGACTCATAACTGATAGAAATGCTGAAAATAAAGGACAGTGGAGTGCTTGGCTCTGAATCGGGTCATCTATGTCACTCCGGAAAGTTCAGGGAATACTATGGAAGAGGGGGGAAATGGATAATGGGGGTGTGTTGCAAAAAGACTTCCGGACATGATATGGCCCAACATTGTATCCATAAACTCATTGTACTCATGAATTCACTGGAGCTGCAGTTACCAGGACAAGATTGGGACAGTCAACACTTCATTATGGAAGGGATCATGAGGCCTCACCCCTCCTTGAGGGAACTATAGACAGTTAATGGTATTGGGGGAAATGTAGCCACTGGTAAGTTGTCCGAGCTCCAGCAAATAACCTCCTATCCGTGCTCATGCAGGCAACCCTGATTAAGCTCACGGGTCAAACATACACCAAAGGACATGTAAACAGGAGGACGTTTTTAGCCAGAGGATGGGGAAAGATGGAGGGCAACAGGGAGTGAGAAAAACTAAAATTCACTACATACACATATGAAACTGTCAAAGAATAAAAAATAATTAAAAACAAAAAACCTAGTCAGAAGCCTGGGGGGAATATACACATGGAAATTGAGTTTCATTTGAAAACTTATCTGGCAATAATCTTCCAATATCAAAAGGCACCTGCAACACACTGCTGTAGGTCTGTATTCTCCCTGGCTACCATGATACTCTTTTACTGGAGAAGATGGTCTTTAGATATAGAAAGAGCCTAGGGCTAAAATGGAAGGGAGGTATTTCTGTAATGGAAGTCTCTTTCCATCATCAATCTTCAGCTATGTTCATTCCTAGAAATAATTTATATTTCTGAGTTACTTAATGCCTGCCACATGATTACCCAGTCAGCAAGTTCATTTCACAGGCTTCCAGGCAGCCCCCAAGGACTTTGCTGTCTGTGTCCCTGCTTGTATTCTGTGTTTGATAAAGAGCTGATGTTCTCTCTATTCATCTACAAAGAGCCTCCAACTCACCACTGAAGGCTAAAATGAGGACTAGTTACCACAGTAACTTTCTCCTGGGCAAAGCTGGCTACTCACCAAAGAATATAAGGTCCCTTAAGAAACAACAAAAGGGACTTATTAATATTTATTTATGAAAGAACCAGAGTTCTGTAACTATGTCATTTTATACATTGTCTAAAACTGCTCCACTATGGCTTTATAAGAAATAAAGAGACTTGGGGCTTAAGAGATGGCTCAGTGGTTAAGAGCACTTGCTGTTCTTGCAGAGGACTAGAGTTCTGTTTCCCATGCCCATGTCTGGCAGCTCACAGTTGTTTGTAACTCTGGCATCAGGGAATCTGACACCGTTTTCTGGCCTCTAGGAGCACACACACATGCTTGCACATACACACACACGCACACGCACACGCACGTACACACACACACACAAATAAAAACAAAATAAATCTTAAAAAAATAAGGAAACTTCATGAATAGAAAGGTAAAAATTATACTAGACTCCAGTGGACACATTTACACTGAAGGACACTTGGGTGCAAACACCTGAATGAATAGGACTCAGCGTGTATGGCAGAGTGCACAGGGTTTGGTGGGGGGATAGGGGGAGGCATGGATGGGGGAGGGGGGGTCTGGATTTGAGTGGGAAATATTGTATGAAATTTTAAAAGCTCAATAAAAAATTATAACAAAAAATCAAATATGAATTAAACAGATTCTACTCTGGCTACGAAAAGTATGTAGATTAGTTTTAAGTAGGGCTTTGTGCTTCATGAGTAATGCTCATTTTAAGGGAGTGGCCATTTACTTTGGTTGTTATGGTTC